ACAACCCTTGACGGTAGACACTGAATGACCCCGCCTTGTGATTTCTTATAACTGCACACACACACACACACACACACACACACACACACACACACACACACACCACACACACACACACACACACACACACACACACACACACACACACACACACCCGAAAACCAGGCGGTTGAGGACCACTTCTCCGCGCAGCACGTGAGCGAGCTGGACGTCATCTTGGCGTTTGCCCGCACCGTGCGGTCCGACCGCAACTCGTCGCCGCCGTCATCGACATCGACAGCGACAGCATCGGCATCGCGTGATGGAGCCACCGCCGGCGCACAGAAGGGGCCGGGAATGAACACGGGCGCAGATGGCCCCAGGGCAGACGTGACTGCTGCAACGGCAACGAAGAGCAACAGCAACAACAACAACAAGGCGAATGGTGCTGTTGGTGATGGTGATGGTGATGGTGATGATGGTGCCCTGCGTGGTGGCGGGAGGGGAGAGCGCGGTGATGGCAGGAGTGAGCACACGCCTGCACAGCAGCAGCAAAAGCAGCAGCAGCAGCAGGAGAATGAAGTGTGTGGAGGGAAGAAGCAAGTGCGCGAGGGTGATGCAACTAGTGTTGCTGGCATGAAGATGGAGCAGGACGACGACGTTCACGTCGACTCGCAGCAACAGCAACAGCCATCGTCATCATCAGTTGCAGCAACACCAACAGCCACGGCAGCAACGCCTGCGCCTGTGGTGGCAGCGACCTCGTCATAATGAAGCCAGCAACAACCCCTGTACCGTATATGCACGACGACCACCACCACCTTCGTCGACACCGCTGCCTTGCCTCTTGCCTTCCGTTTGCTTGTAAATGACCTGCTTCCTCTTCTTCCCCACCCGCGTGCGTGCACCACGAGAGCAGCATCAACAGAATAAACAAGAAGCTCCATCACCACCGCACGTGTCGCCAGCAGCAGCCTGTGTTGCACCATTGCTCTCATCGCATCATCATTTCATTGCACCCGACCACCATTCATCCAACAACAACCAACCAAGAAGCAAGAATGGTGGTGACGCGTGTGGACTGGAGGCGGGTGGCCGCTGGATCGGAGACAGAGGCCGTGGCGGCGGAGGTGGATGCGGCGCTGGCACGCGACGGCCTGCTGCTGTTGGAGAACGTGGTGCCCAGGGAGGAGGCGCAGGCGTTCCTGGCAGCGGCAGAGGCCTTCTTCGCGCAGCCGCGCAGGGCCAAGGACGAGGTGGGCCTGACAAGCAAGGACGGGTTCATGCGCGGGTACCTCTCGTATGGCGCGGAGAGCGGGCAGCCAGACCGCATCTTCGAGCCCAAGGAGGGCTTCTCCTACGGATACGAGTGGCCCGAGGACAGGCCCGCCAACAACGCGCTGCAGGGGCCCAATAGGTGGCCGGACGCGAGTGTGTACTCGGATGCGCAGGGGTTTCGCGCCCGCATGGGCGGTGTGTTCGACACGATGACCGCGGTGGCGGCGCGGCTGGTGGAGGTCATCGGCATCGCGCTTGGACGCGATCCGGAGGACATGCGCGAGGTGTGCAAGGACGGCGACACCATCTCCTTGCTGCGCGTGTTCCACTACCACCCGGCCTCCGCCAAGCACAAGGCCTGCCTCGGCTCGTCTCCGCACACGGACTGGGGCTTCCTCACCACCATCCTGCAGGACGACGTGGGCGGGCTGCAGTTCCAGTCCAGCGACGACGGCGCGTGGCACGACGTCCCCTGCGTGCCAGGCAGCCTGGTCATCAACGGTGGCGACTTCCTGCAGATCATCTCGCGCGGGCGGTACAAGTCTCCCGTTCACCGCGTGCTCTGTCCAGAGGCCACACGCACCTCCTTTGTATTGTTCTACTACCCGGCCTACGACACGCCCATGGACGCGGCCATGTTCACGCCCGTCTCCAAGGACTACAACACATTCCTTGAGATTGGCGACAGGGACAAGGGAAAGCAGGAACAAGGGAAGAACACGCGTGGCAGCAGCAATGACGGTGATAGTGGTGATGATGCTGATGATGGTGGCAGAAGTGGTGGTGATGGCGGCGATGCTGGTGACGGCAGTGGAGAGGGTAACAAGAAGCCTTCTTGCTTTGGAGACTACATCTGCCTCAAATGGCAGCAAGTGCAGGCATACTGACCACAAACATCAGTGAGTGAGTGTCTGTGTCTGTGTCTGTGTGTCTGTGTCTGTGTTGTACGTGTGTCTGTGTGTGTGTGTGTCTGCGTGTCGTATGTGAATATGCGCAAGCGTGCACGTCGCTGTGTGTACGCCTGAGTGTGTGCCACGTTGACTGGCCGTCGCGCTGTAAGTAAAACATAGCTCAGCACTCAAAGGAAAACGGGGTTGAGGAGCATGGTGGAAGGGGAAGTTGAAAGACGAAAGGCGGGTGGACGTGGGAAGGAAACACGAAAGCATGATACCACCACAATGACGGTGGAAGAGGGAAGCTGGAAGAAAAGACAGCGGTTGTTGAGCAAACGACCATACACGCGTGGGCACGTGCATGCAAGCAAACCACGCCAAGTGCGCATGGGGAGCAGCAGGTCAGCACGGCCATGTGCAGCATCACATCACCACCATCAGGCCTGCTTGAAGATGAGCGTGGCAGAGTTGCCGTTGCCGCCAACAGCAGCGGAATAGGAGGTGAACGTGCCCATGTCCTTGTGCTGCCACACATCCCGCACAGACACCTGCACGGGTTGTAAGCAATTGGGGTGTGGTTGGGGTGTCAACGTCGGACGAATGGGATGGGTGAGGAAAGTGGGTGAGGAAAGTGGGTGAGGAGTGGTGGGTGAGGACGCAACGATGCAGAGCAAACGCACACACACGCACACACACATATATATGCACACACACACACATGCACACACACACACACACACACACACACACACACACACACACACACACACGCACACACACACACACACACGCACACACACACACACATGCATACACACACACACATGCACACACACACACACACACACACACACACACACACACACACACACACACACACCTTCCCGGAGAGGCCCATGGCCTTGATGCAATCTGCGTGGCAGGTGATTGTGGTCTTTGCCAGGGCGTAGTTGATCATGTTCACGGCCACGCTGCCGTCAGCCATCTTCTTCGCCCAGATCTGCTGGCACGGCGGGATGATCGCGTTGGGGCTGCACCAACACAGTGCGTTTGATATTTTGATATTTGTGTGTTGGCATAGTTGGGGGGGGAGATGAGTGTGTTGTGAGAGAAGGGAGATGATAGGGAGTGATGTGGTGGCGTGTGTGGTTTGTGCAAGCACTCTAACACAGGTGCAGACACACACACACACACGCACAGCGCACAGCACAGCCGTACTTGTTGATGTCGTCGAGGGACGGGGGCGGGCACGTGCTGTAGACGGGGCGGCCCTGATATCCGAGCGGATCCTGGTCAATGGCAATCACTTCGCGGTTCGTGTACGTCTCCACGTCATACGACTTGGTTGGTTGGACGGTTGGATGGACGGTTGGTTGGTTGGTTGGTTGGTTGGTTCATTGGTGGGGATGGATGAATGGTGTGGAATAGTGATGTGTGTGGTGTGGACGAATATGAGCACGAGAACTGAAGGGAACGGGCGATTGACACATGCACAAGTCACGAGCACCGCATGCACATGAATACAAGGTCGCGTGGCTGCTGCTGCCTTCGCTCACCGAGATGTTGAGCATGTTTGATCCAATGAGAAGCGGAGCAGCCATCACCGACCTGAACACACAGGCGTGTGTGTGTGTGTGTGCGTGTGCGCGCGCGCGCGTGTGTGTGTGTGTGCGTGTGCGTGCGTGTGTGTGTGTGTGTGTGTGTGTGTGTGTGTGTGTGTGTGTGTGTGTGTGTGTGTGTGTGTGTGTGTGTGTGTGTGTGTGTGTGTGTGTGTGCCGGGGGTATTGAAACGTCAGGAGGAAAAAGCCGTCAGTTAAACGCGACAAATGCAACTCACGCAGTAAACTGTGCCCACGCACGCACACACATACACACACGCACGCGCACACACACACGCACGCACGCACGCACGCGTACACACACACACACGCACGCACACACATGTACACACGCACACACGCACGCACCAGAGGCTGAACTGGGTGCGGCTTTGCTGCGGGCTCATGTGGGCAGCGGCCTCAGGCGAGCTACCAACCAGCATGTCGGGGCTGGTCGTCGGTGGCGGTGTTGGTAGTGATCACAGCACGCGTGCAGGAAGGGATGTGAGTGGCATATTGTTTGATGTTGTCATGTGGAGTTATGGGTGTTGTGGTGGTGGTCGTCTTGTGGTAGAGAGGACGAGCGTAGGCGGTTGACAAACAGAAAGTGTCATCTCTTTCACATGCACGCACACGCACACACACACACACATGTACACACGCACACACATGTACACACGCACACACATGCACACACACGCACAAAACTACAACCAGCAAAAAGGTACGCATGCTGCTGCTGCTCACTCGTTCCAGCCGCCGGGCCGGCTGTAGTTGTAGAGGAGCTCGTTGGTGCGAATGGCAGCATAGGCGGACCCCCACGTGTTGACGTCGCCGTGGATGCGCCACGAGTTGCCGAGCGACCAGCCAACGGGTGCGTACCACGCGTTCCACCCGCACAGCGAGAAGTAGATGGGCCGGCCCGTCTTGTTCAGCGCATCGCGCATCTTGCCGTACTCGTTGAAGGCCTGCAGGCGAAGGAGTGATGGGAGGGTGATGTGATGATGTGGTGATGAGAATGGTGGGTGGTGGTGAGATGAAGAATAGAGTAGGGGGAGACGGCAACTGATAGAGGTGTTGTGTGTGTGTGTGTGTGTGTGTGTGTGTGTGTGTGTGTGTGTGTGTGTGTGTGTGTGTGTGTGTGTGTGTGTGTGTGTGTGTGTCTCACCCCCCAGCAGCCCTGGCTCGTACATCCGGGGAGTGGGGGGAATATTTTGTCGTGTTGTTGTCACCACACCTCCTCCTGATCGTG